ATCCTCGTGTTGAAGTCACCATACAACAACCATCTATAACTATTTACGCTATTTCCCTTTTCTAGGGGAACCTGCCTATCCCGCTTGTCCCATACTTTATACCTAACCTCTGTGGTTCTAAAGATAACTAATTTGGTTGTCATCGAATTAACAGCTAATATCTACACATCTGCAAATACACACCATATTTGTCTTTCTGGGTAGAGGTTACCACACTCAGGATGATGTTTTCTAGTTCTATCCATTTACCTATGAATTTCGTTATTTCATAATTTTTTAATGGATGAGTAATATTCCATTGTGAACATACACCACATTTTCCTTATCTGTTCATCAGTTGTGGGGCATCTAGGTTCTTGCCAGTTTCTGGCTATCATGAACAGAGCAGCATTGAACATGTATGAGACGGTCTCTGTGGGAGGGTCAAGCATCCTTTCTGTCTGTGCCCAAAAGTAGTGTAGCTAGAAGGATTCCCATTTTCCTGAGAAACTGCCACACTGATGAGCACAGTGGCTGTACAAGTTTACACTCCCACCAGCAATGGATGAGTGCTAATTCTCCCCCCTCCACATCCTCACCGCCATGAGCTGGCACTACTTGTATCGAACTTAGCTATTCTGATGGGTGTTAGATGAAATCTCAAAGTAGGTTTGATTTGTATTTCCCTGATGACTAAGAATGTTGAACATTTAAGTATTTTGCAGCCATTTGAGTTTCTGCTATTGCGAATGCTATGTTTATCTCTGTACCTTAGTTTTTTAAATTGGGTTATTTGTTTTCTTGATACCTACATTTTTTTGAGTTATTAATATATTTTAGAAATTTAGTTCTCTGTCCAGTATGTAATTGGTAAAGTTCTTTTCTTATTCTGTAGGCTGCTGCTCTGTCTTTATAGTGGTGTTCTTTGCTATGCAGAGTTTTCTCAGTTTCATGAGGTCATATTTATTGATTGTTGATCTTAGCGCCTGTGCTAAAGGTGTTCTGTTTCCTGTGCCAATGAATTCAAGGTTATTTGGGTTTTTCTTTTCTATCAAGCTAAATGTATTTGGCTTTATGTTGAAGTCTTTGATCCATCAAGAGTAGAATTTTGTGTAGGGTGATAAGTATGCATCTATTTGGATTCTTCATGCAGCCATCTAGTTTGACCAACACTATTTGTTAATGAAGCTTTATTTTTCAGTGTGTATTTCTAGCTTCTTTATCAAAAATCAGCGGTCTCTAAGTATGTGGATTTATGTCTGGATCTTCAATTTGGTTTCATTGATCAGCATATCTCTTTTTGTGCCAATACCATGTTGTTTTTATTGCTACGTTTCTGTAGTATACAGTTTGAGGTCAAGAATGGTGATGTTCTTTTACTATTTATGATTGTTTTAGCTATCTTGGGTGTTTTGTATTTCTGTACAAAGCTGAAAATAATCCTTTCAAGATCTTTGAATAATTGTGTTGGAATCTCGATGGGAATTACATTGAATATGTAGATTGCTTTTGGTAGGATGGCCATTTTTGCAAGCAGCATAGGCAGTTGTTCCAAAATTTGTTATTTTTAAGTATGTCTCCTATTTGTTCTTTGACAATTTCAAATATATCTATAGCATGTCTTAACCTGACCATTATTTTAAAACCACGTTAAATCAATGTGATCTCAGATTGTCAGGAGGAAAAGGGCATGAGAATCTCTATGGATGCATTTCAAATTTATGAAAGCTTGACTCATCAAAGAAAGAGAGAACAAAGTGTTTCTTATTAGGAAGAATAAGCAAAAGGAGAAAGGAAAGGCTGAGAAAGCCTAGTAAGAAGTGCTTGAGGACTGTACCCCTAGCAATCACAGATAGGTATCTGATGTTACAATGTTCTTCCAAACTTAACTCTCTGATTTGTTTCTAAATTTTTCCCAGTAAAGTATAGCTTTACATGGCCATGTTACACATTTTCATTGACGATGAGCATGTTAAAAGGTAGACCATTGAAGTTAAACCCTTTTCAGCACTTAAATGAAAGGAAACTAGTCACAAAATAATTTTCTTATTTTTTTTTTCTATCAACTTCAGTTCTTACTTATCTAACATGTGGGCAGGTTGCAGGACATTCTGCCTTACCATAAATTATAAACCCAATGTATGGAACAGTCTCTAAATGGGGTGACTATCTCACAAACCTGTTGAGTTTCTGAAGCTAAGGGTCAGAGGCACACACACAAGTGAAGAACATCGGGAAGAAATCAAATTACTGAAACATAGCATAAAATAAGCTGTAAGAAAAGTAGATGTTGGGATTGTTATTGTGGGGGTCACCATGTAGTGTATTTATACAAACTACCTCCTGGCTGCAAGCAACAGACTTTGGCACATGAACTGGCCAGCCATAGGGAAGTATATTGCCTTCTTTTACAAGCTCTAAGGCGAGAGGTAGTTAGTGACGCAACCACCAACCTCTGACTCTGCCATCCATAAAGTATCAGGGTTTTCTTCGCTAGTTTTTCTCATATTCGCAACAGTTCCAGGTCCCAGAGTAACCACAGTTCTAACCAGCAGAGGGGTGTTGATTTATGTGGCTCTCTTCATACCTAAAGTTAGAAAAGAGTTCTCATAAGGAAGCCAGCACAAGTCTTCTTATATCACAACATACTCAGATTGTATCCCATGGTCTCAGAACAACCAAGGGTAAAAATGAACTCAGTTATCATGACTGACATATAAATTAAGATTTCTCTATGAGATTTGAGGAGGTTATCTCCCTACAACCACAGCTAACCATAAACTTCAAAACAGTGTGTCTGTTTTAAATTATAGGGAAGGGATGGATGATTCTGTAGATTGTGGATAATGTTTGTTTATGTTTTATGTTCACAAATATGCACTGACATAATAGAAGGTAGAATTTGAGAAGGAAGCAAGACTGATACCTTTCCTACTTCAAAGCTGAGATCTTTAGATATAACCAGTGCTAAACTCAGTTTCTTTGTGCCCTCTCAGTAATTTTCTATGTGATGTGTTTTTCTCAATACAGACTCCCACAATACGTTCTCTAGCCAATATCTCCGACTCTGTGCTTTTTTCTTTCCCAAAAGCTCTGAGAGGTATCCATTGTATTTCTCTTCATTTAAAACAGGGTGAGGATTATTCAGAACACTTTGTATCATATTGGACACATTGTGGGCACACAAGTTATTCACTCAACATTGATTTCCTCACTAGTAAGAAAATTTCATGGGCTATGAAACTTAGCCTAGATCAGTGCAAACTTTAGCTCTGTCACTATCCAGCTGTGCAACCTTTCACAGAATGTTTCATCCTTAACACGCAAATGATAACTTTCCCTGATTTATGAAGTTTATTTGTAAATATCAGGTGCACTCATATGCTGAAAATACCTTTAAAGTACCTGGATATTACATACTGGTAAGTATTGTATACCTTTGTTTATTAACATACTATTTCCAGCTGAAAGACTGGAGCATTTTTCCAACCATTGAGTTTATCACAGTTGGAGCTGTGAACCAATTTTGAAGCTTTGCTTCACTGTGTCACAAAACAATGACAGTTTGAAGAGTTTGATAAAAAGAGGGCTTTGTGCTATGAGCTTAGATTTTCTCTCAAGTGCCTGCAGTTCAGAAACAGTGAGCGTTCAGAGCCGAGCTTCAACAAAGCAAGGGAGAATGGGAATTCCAAATCATTTATCTGTAGTTTCTATGGAAAGCATTCTGCGAGCCAACCAAAACTAACCTGTGTTTCTTCAAAGACTTGCTGAAGCATCTAATTTTATCTTACTATACAAAAGTGAAAGAGTAGCTTCAACTAATATTGTACTTTGGAGCACATAAAATTGGTCAATGGAAGATGTCAACTCCAAAAGAAATAGAGAACAACAGAAAAGATAAAATGAAACCATGGCTATCACCAATAGGGTAAATATGAATTTGGAAACCATCCAATCTATATTGTTTTTATTTCCATCTGGATTCTCATGGTCATCTTTCCTAACAAATATAAGGAAGGGAGGAGGGAAGGAGAAAGAGAAAAAAAGGAGAAAGGGAAAGCTGGGACTTTACCATTTTCGTGACAATAGACTTGAAGTCTCTCCAATACCTTTGAAAGCTATTCTGATTTTCCTTTTTGGCCACAACCTTTCTTTCTAGCTGAAATCTAGGGAGACCCATTAAAAGCACAAATGTTCTCCAGTGTGGACTAACAATTTAAAAAGAAGTTTTTTTTTTTTTTTTTGGAAGCTTCAGTAATAAAATATTTTCTTAAAATAGAAATGGGTACAAATTAGCAATGTTAATTTTATGAATTCATTATCAATGCTTTTAGAAACAGCTCTAATGCCCTGTGTCTTCAGAGATTTGTGACCTTACTCTAGGGGAGTTTTCAGGTTTACAAAAGGTTTCTTGACTTTTTTGTTGTTGTTATTGTAATAGGTGAATGTTCTGGGTTTGATTTAGCTACTTGGTTGATTATTTCGGCCTCTATTATATTGATCTGAGAGGAAAAACTATTATAGTAATGAATTTTTATTTTAACTAATTCCTATAAAATTTATGCTGTTTAAAACTACTAAACATAATTGAGAGAATGAGACACTAGGCTTGTTCAAATTTTTATGAAGCTTATCGCCTTATAATGTTGATAATGTTCATTTTTCTTCATCTCAAGGCTTGACTCTAAGAAACCATTAGTTATAAAACTCGCTATCAAGTTTTATTCCCTTACCAGAAATTATTCCAAAATAAATTATGCCAGTGTACATTCAAAGCATTGAATTTTATGATTATTCAAAGATCTCAGATTTCTTTAGACATTTTTAACTTTGTGGCAATCTTGTAAACACAGTCAAAGGTGGGGGGGAGGGAAGAACAAAAAACAGCATCTCCCATGTGCTGCTGGGCAGGCTCCACCCCCACCCCAGGCCCCGCCCCAGGCTCCTCCCCTGTGCTCCAGGCTCCACCCCTGTGGATGCCCGCAAGGACCCCTGGGAAGGCTGCCTCTGAGTCGAGCAGGATGGCGGTGCGGGTGACAGGGGATGTGCAGGCCGTTCATCTTGAGTCTGACGCTTTCCTGGTTTGTCTGAACCACGCCCTGAGCACAGAGAACGAGGAGGTGATGGGTCTGTGTATAGGGGAGTTGAAGGGTGACGCGAGGGGTGGCTCCAAGTCCCCGCACGCCAGCACTGAGATGCGCACAGTCCCGGGAAGGGTGGACACCGCCACAGTTGTTCACATCCGTTCCGTCCTTATCTTGCAACGCTCCGACAAGACGAAGGATCGAGTGGAAATTTCCCCGGAGCAGCTGTCTGCGGCCTCGGTCGAGGCGGAAAGGGCAGCTGAACAGACGGGCCGCCCGCTGAGGGTGGTTGGCTGGTACCACTCGCACCCGCACATCACCGTCTGGCCTTCCCATGTCGATGTCCGAACGCAAGCCATGTACCAGGTGATGGACCAACGCTTCGTTGGGCTGATTTTTGCCTGTTTCGTAGAAGACAAAACCGCAAGGACCGGTCGGGTACTGTACACTTGCTTCCAGGCTGTGCAAGACCCAAAGAGCTCAGAGTACGAAAGAATGGAAATCCCGATCCATATCGTACCGCACACCACCATCGGGAAAGTATGCCTCGAATCAGCGGTAGAGCTGCCGAGGATCCTGTGTCAGGAGGAACAAGATGCTTATAGGAGGATTCACAAACTTAGGCACCTGGACTCCATAACCAAGATCCATAACGGCTCGGTATTCACCAAGCATCTGTGCAGTCAGATGTCCGCAGTCTGTGGGCCCCTCCTGCAGTGGTTGGAGAACAGACTAGAGCAAAATCAGCAGCACTTGCAGGACTTGGAACAAGAAAAGGAAGGCCTTCTGCAGGAGCTGTCTTCCCTAGAATAAAGCAGGGAGGTAAAAAGGGGCAGATGGGAAAAAAAAAAAAATCTTGGCATACAATTTAGAAACTAATTTTGAAGAAGGTAAGAGTTGGAGGACTCACGTTACGTAACCTCGAGACTTCTTATAAAGCTGCAGTAATGAAGATACTATGGTATTCACAGAAGACTAGACGTATAAATCAAAGGAACAGAAAAGGATATCCAGAAATAAACCCACAACTATATGGCTCACTAATTTTGACAAAGTACAAAAGTGATTCAAAGAAGTAAGGGCAGTCATTTTGGCAAATTGCACTTATACAGGCCAACAAAATAAATTCTTACAGTAAATCCATGAAACATTGAGGTACTGTAAGACAGAAAAACTTTTAGAAAAATGTCTTATGAGAAAAATCTTTAGGAGACAAGTTTTTTAAGCTCCAGCCCACAAATACAATCCAGAAGAAAACAAAGTACATATATTAGACTTCACCAAAATGAAAACTTTATTTTGTAAAGAAAGAAACAGAAAGAGAATAAGAAGATAAGGAATTACTTGCAACTCTTGTAGTATCTGATATCTGATAAATATGGAAAAATAGAGTATGATCAAAACTCAAAAATAAACAGTCCAAGTAGGTAATGAAAAGAAATAGACATCTCCACCGAAAAGGAAATAATAGATGACAGTGGATTTTATGAAAATACGTTGAACTTCATAACTCATTGAGGAATGCAAATTAAAACCAGAGTATGGTGTGACATATACTTTAGAGGATTGCTAGAGAGATAATAGTGAAATTATCTGTTAAGGATATAACAGTATGTAAGGTGTGTTCTCATACACCAGTACATCTACTCTGTAGATAAATATGGAAATATTTCATAATTAAATGTATACTTTACATATGCAAAAACTTTTACAAAAGAATTCATAGCAGCTTTATTTGTCCTATTCCTCAAATGAGAAACAACCCAAATATTCTGTAATGGGTAAGTAGTTAAACAAACCATTCCTACCATGGAATGTGACTCTGTAGTGAAAAGCAAGTATTAAGATATGCAACTGAGATAAGCCTTGGGATGTATCATAGTAAATTAATAAAGAGGAATCTCAAAACGTCATTTGCTGTACAGTTGCATTTCTATAGCATTGTTGAAATGTCAGAACTATGGCGAGGGAGTAACAGATTAATGATTTCCAGAGTTTGGGACTACATAGTCCACAGGATATGTGTTACTATGACATTCTGGAATAAGAGTTCATTTAGACTGATAAAAATGGATTTTATTTTGTACCATTCTTCTGGTGTTATTATATAAAACTATTCCCGTGCTAATATTTTATAGATTTGTATACACAGACGCTGATTGGTATAAAATCTAGTGGCAATGAATATTATACCATTTTCATAATGTTAGCTTTGAAGTTATACAGTTCTAGAAGATCTTACAACTAGGAGAAACTAAATATAGGATTTCCGTTAATAGTTCCCCCAAAAATCTTTCATACTACTTGACTCTCAATCTGCTAATGTTTGTGGTACATGCTGACACAGGAAGGCTTCATACAGCAAACAGGACTCCTTAACTTTGCCTAAATTCCATCAAAAGGATCCATAACATGGACCATTGCTGAGAATAACAACCACCCTGAGCATACCCAGATAAGCAGCAGCTTATCCTGGTGGAGAGTGAAAGTGAGATGCCATAAAATTAAAATCTAAGAAAACTCCTACTTCACACACACACAAGTATGAAAACTGGTATCATAAAAGGATGTGTTCTGTTAAGTGTAGCCTGTCACTCAGTGTTCTTTTTAAACTATGTAATAGGAGCTTCACAGCACTCAGTATTGTCAGATGGCAGTCTACGACATACAACAATTAGGGACAAAAATATGACCTCAATAACAAAATGGTCCGGGTTTGTATATAAATTGCTCCGGAAACAAGCAAGCCTAAGGAACCACACATTCAGTTGTATTTCTTGTTCTGCTTTCTGGTCCTGTGGTGCAGATATGCAGAGAACTCTAAGTGTAGTGTTATCCTTTGAGGATCCTTTGAACTGAAACTCAAAAGGGATCCAAAATATCTTAACTAACCATGCAACTGTTGTTAGAGAGAAGTCAGACATGGTTGTAGCGGCTCTCAGTGAGACATCTGTGTTGGAATCCTGGTTCACCAAAGCATTATGTTGTGTTCTTTCTTGTGTGTATGCTCTGGACACTTGAGAGCATCTCATAGCTTAGATGCTTAGATATGATTTTCAGTTGACCTGGCTACACTTTTCATTCATTATTATTATTTTAGAAGAATGTTTGTATTCTAATGAGGGAGAGAAAGAAAGGGTGTAGATTTGGGTGGGTAGGAAAGTGGGAAGAATCTGGGGGGACATTGGGAGGGCAAACTGTAATATAATGCTGCAGTCAGAATATATTGTATGCAAATTCCTATTTTTAATTAAAATAATTTTAAAATATGGCTCGGTGGGTTTAAGGTATTTGACCCCAACCTGAAATCCTGAGTTCAATCACTGGGGCTCACATGCTAGAAGCACCACAAATTGTCCTCTGATGTTCATATACATATACTGTGACATATGAGACCCCACACATTATGCACACACACACACATACACACAAATAAATACATACATAAATTTTAAAATAAAAAAACATGGTTATTGTAAGGATTCATGTTAATATATATGGTACAGTTACAGTATTGCTTCATGCATGGCAAAAGATTTATGTTTGTATAATTATTGTGTATTGGCCTCAGACCTGTGTGGAATAAGAGCCTGATCCCTCCTTAAATTTGCTATGATCTCACTATGGCTGTATGCTATCTATATAAGCCATTCCTATGATCAGAGCCTATGAAAATGGCTGAGGAGGTGTTACTGATGGGCCAACACTGGGATTTGTGTCTTGACTATGTCTCACACTCACCACCTACACGGTTTAGGGTCAGGGGTGACTTTTTTTTACAGAAAGCGAAGTTAAGGTTAAAAAGAGAGAGAGGAAAGGGGAAAAGGAAAGAAAATATTGGTGTTTTAGACACATTGGGGCAGCTTGTCAGATAATCTAGAAATGACACTTTTTGACATAGAACCTTAATTTCTCTTTGTATGTTGTGTGGGAACTCAGTGTTCCAACACTTCTCCTGCCTTTCTGCCTAACCCTTTTATTGTATCTGCCACCAGAAACCAGCCCCTATCCACCATAGCAGAGCTGTGTAATCTGCTTCCCTCTTAACATCTCCCAAGAAAATGTATTCATCTGAATTTTCAGAGAAGATGCACCTTGAGGCTGACATTCAAACACCTGCAAACTTGTGGGAGAGTTTGATTTGCTGCTAGGCTTCACTTGCTGCTTAAGGGTCCTCGGGCAAGGGAAGAATTTAAGTGAAAATGTTGACAGTAGTTCATTATTTTTCCAAATTCTTTCAGAGCGAGCATGATCATATTCCCTGGGAACCTTAACTGGGTTTGACACAATTCAGTAAAGAATGATTTCTGTATGAAGTTCTACAGGAAGACCCGAAATGCATTACAACAGGCAATGGCTGAGGCAAAATATGGGTTTGTATATCAGCTTCTGCTTGTGATAGGATTATAGTGGTCTTTAGGGAAGATAGATTGACAGGCCACTTCCTCTTGGCCGGGTCCAATTTGGTGGGGGAAGTCTTTGGCTATGTCTGTCAGCATCTGGTACTCTCTGAACACAGTATAAAGTGTGTGAGTCCTTACTGAAGCTGGGCTTTGAGATAGGACCATGGTGGATGCATGGGCAACTACACTGGCTTCATATGATACGTGGAGGACACTGATGAAGTGAATTCCCTAAACTCTGTTCTCCTCCTCTAATACAGACCAGCCTGTTTTCTCTTTTCTCCTGGACTGTTTCCAGTGATTAGTCCAAAATAATGTAGTTTTTGGATCATAAGTATTCAAATACTTTCTTTGGCAATCTTTTTTGATAATCCCTTGCCCTTTTGTTTGGCCTTGAATTTTGTATTCTTTGATTACAAACTACAAATCTTAAATAGAGGTGGAAATAGTGATTTATGTAGGAATCATTATGTTTGTGCAGTATTATAAAATAGCTCACTATATTATCTGAGAAAGCTATACCAAGTTTTACATCTAGAGACAGACATAACTAAGAGAATAAATATAAGGAAATGGAGGTTGTCATAACAACAATGGTCACGTTATACTGCAAAATATTAACCTTTGTGACATTTCACTATTTTGTCTACATTGTATTTCCACTAATGGCCATTTTGTGTACTTTTGCTTCACCATGTATTCCTGAGACTTAGTTTGTGTCCCAACGTGTTTCCAATCCAGTATTGGGATGCTAAACTAATACTGTAGGGTTCAGTTTTCATAAGAACAAACAATTTTTAAGGACTTTTTGTAAAAATAACTCAGACTTATACCATACTGAGAACATACACATAGGATGGTGGTTCTCAGCCTTCCTAGTGTTGTGGCCCTTTAATACAGTTCCTCATCTTGTGTTGACCCACCCCCAACCATAAAGTGATTTCACTGTTACTTCATAACTGTAATCTTGCTACGGTTATGAACCATAACATAAATATCTGTTATGCAGGGTATCTGATATGCATACCCCGGAGAGATCGTGACCCACAGGTTGAGAACCATTGAGATGGGAGAAGGTGAAAATTCTGCTAGGAATTTAGCACATTGAATCTAACCTGTCTTTCCAACCTCTTTTCTATGAGAGCCTTTTATTTCTAAACAAGGCCCAATCTGTGTATGTGTCATAACCTGTATTTTTCAGCTAATGGTTCCTTGTGCTTTCAGGGTTCTAGCTATTTAAGACAAGGTCAATACTATTATTTTATACATTACTACAATTAATTTACTGTTAGGTAATTTCTGATAGCATAGGTCCTATCAGTGTCTTTATATTAACATCAGCAATTCTTTATCAGTGATTCCTGGACTAGCAATGAACCCTTCCACAGAGTTTGATATGTTCTATTGTTTTGTGTCCCTGGAGCAGGTTTCTCTTCTGCCCTTCTTCCAAATTATCTAGTTCCTTGTATGCTGACCTTTGCTATTAATATTTAGCCAATTTTAAGTGAATATATTCTTGGTTTGGGGGAGCTGTTTTGTTTTGTTTTGTTTTGTTTTTGTTTTTTGTATTTCAAGGCAGAGTTTCTCTGTATTGCTTTGGAGCCTGTCCTGGAACTCACTCTGTAGACCAGGCTGAACTCAAACTCACAGAGATCTTCCTGCCTCTGCCTGACTGCTGGGATTAAAGGCATCTGCCCCCTCCACGCAGCTTATATCCTTGTTATTTTAATTTTCAGTTTTGTATTATAAGGAAGCATTTGATCATGTTATCTTTCTTTGTATTAGAAGAGATTTTATGTTTCTATCTAATAATAGGGATTTTTTAAATTCCAGTGTGCTAAAATTTTATTCTTACAAGCTAAATGACTGTGCGTATAAAATTAAGCAAACTGTTTCCTGCTAGTGAGATAACACGTATTTTCCATTCACTGGTAAATAGATTGAAAAAAAATCATAAATACACCAGTACTGGCTACTTAAATGGTACTGTAATGTTAGAGTAACAGAAAAGACTATATCAGAAAAAGTCTGAAAAGTCTGTGTAGGCAATAGGTATGAGAGCCCCCATCTCAGTTTCATTGTATTTTTATTGAAAATATTTTTTCATACCATATTCCCTTATCACCTCACTGATCATACCAACCTCTCTACCTATGCAACTCTATGCCCTCTCTCTCTCTCTCTCTCTCTGTCTGTCTGTCTCTCTCTGTCTCTCAAACAAACAGGCAAGTAAAAAAGATAAACAAAATAAACAAACTAAGAAAGCAAGAATATACACACCCACACCCAGAGACACACACAGGCACACACACAAAACCTGGTTAGTGGTGATTGAGAAGAGACCAGCATCACTGGTGTGAAATCTCCCAGGAAGTGCTCTCCTCGGGGTCAGTGCACATAATCCCTGTTCCAGAGATGTCTTAGGTTGCATCTCATTCTGGCCAGAATTTGGTCATGTGTAAGAATCTCCATGATGACCCTGGTTTTGAGGGATGAGAGGTTCATAGAGAACAGCCGAGGCTTGGCACTGTGAGAAGTCAGAGGAGGCCACTGGTGAAGGTACATTCTCAGTAGCAGTTGAAGGTCCAGGATTGGGGGGGGCATTCAGAGAAGTTGAGGCCCAGCACCATGACTACTGCCCAAGAGAATCTGACTATTGATTAGCAGAAGTGTGGCCCAGCTGCCATAGAAGACTCCAGAGTTTTGCTGTTACCAGGCGACCTGACCTCAGCCTGAGACTCACTATGTGTGCTGTGGCAAGCACTTTGGAGTCAAGAAAATTGTGAATGAATCACAGGCAGTCGACACTGAGTTATTTGCGCTGTTAGAATTCCTTTGACTTTGTTCAGATTGTGACTGTACTCTGGTGCCTTTTGGATTTTACGGGAACCCATAGTCAAGAGACTGAAATGTTCAAATTTGTAAAAAGCTGGGAGTTTTAAGGCGTTAGTGTGTTTTATATTGTGATGTTTATTATTACAAAGGGAAATTTGTCAACTAATGTTGTATTGGTGTGTCAAGTTAACAAGGAGTCAAATGTCCTGGCTAGTTTGTATGTCAACTTAACACAAGCTAGAGTCATCTGAAGGAAGGGAACCTCAATTGAGAAAATGCCTTCCTAAGATCAATTCAGCTGTGGGGCATTTTTCTGTTAGTGATCCATGTGGGAGGGTTTAGCCCTTTGAGGCTGAGGATGCCTCTGGGTTGGTGGTTCTGGGTTCTATAAGAAAGCAGGCTGAGCAAGCCACAAAGATGAAACCAGTAAGCAACACTCCCCAGTGGCCTCTTCAGTGCTTCCTGACTCTGGGGCCCTGCCCTGTTTGAGTTCCTGTCCTGATTTCCTTTGATGATGAACAGTTATATGGAAGTGTGAGCCAAATAAACCCTGTCCTCCCTAGGTTGCTTCTGGTCGCGGTTTCATTGCAGAAATAGTCACCCTGAGTAAGATAGAAAGCAAGGTTTATATCTTCCCACTTTGTAAGGGTAGAATTGAGAGGGCAAATGTCTTTTCAAATGCATCTAGTTAGAGAGTAAGAAGACAGTTACTGTCTTCACAATTCAGAGCCAAAATGTTGTCATTTACAACCTTAGAATTAATTGGTTTTTCTACTGCAAAGGTAAATAAGCATTTAAAATGATTGAGCGAATTTGATAAAAAATAATTCAGTAAGATACTGAAGCTAGGTGAATTTAAATAATTAAGCAGACAAGCCCTGTTTCTTTATCAGTATCTGGATAATATGGAGCCAATTATGCCACATTTACAGTGACCTAAAAATACCACCTAGCACAACAAGTAAATTATTGATCAGAGTGTTACCTACAGTAAAGGTCAAAAAAATGACTGGGGGGTGATTACCCTTCATATGAGACTCAAGACATTTGCTGTATAATGTTCATGGTGTCCTAGGCTTCTGGTGTTAACGCTATTATGTATAGTTATTTTAAAAATCACTAACATTTTGAATGTACGCAATCACTTAGCAACATTACCAGCACTAATATCCATGATTTGCATTTTCCTTTTAAGATAATACAAGACGCTTAGAGTGTAGAACGTGGTTGTTGTCAACAGCTGTTCCCTGCACACGTTGGGAAGATATCACTGCAAGTTAAATGTACACAGCAAAATAGGGCTTGCATACATAGCTAATCGTTTTGACAGCTTACATAGAACTGTTGGGAGAGGATGCTATTTGGTCGCAGCCTTCCGGGAAGGAGCTCACCACTCACTGTGGTTCTATAAATATTTCATGAGCCAACATAAAGTAATATGCTAATGACAGGCGTCTACCCAGTGAGCAGGTGCATGCAATGTGTGTTCGTCTCGGGTACACCTGTTGTTCGGGGTCAGGCATGCCCTTCTGAGTTCGCTTTCTCCTTCCTCCCCCATTAGTTACACCTGAACCAAAAATGGTGAGTGAGAGTCGTCATGAGCGCCTGGCCGCCCCGCCAGTCACCACTGCTGCGACTGTGGTCCCACATAATGCCACCGAGCCAGCCGGTCCGGGGGAAGGAAAGGAAGATACCTTCTCAAAGCTGAAGGAGAAGTTTATGAACGAGCTGCATAAAATTCCATGTGAGTACCCTATGTTTGACTTGATTAGACAGAAAAGATTAAACAGTCATTCAGAACCGTTGGAAAACCCAGCAGGCTCCAACACACTGTTCTTCATGGTAGTGATCCAATGAGAAAAGGAGTGATTTGGGAAATGGGATGTGACTTTCTTCTTTAACTGTGCCTTAAAAATAACAGCGTAGTTTATAACACAATTTTGTGTGTTGAATTTAATGTAGGGCCTTCGTTTTCTGTCTCTCTGACATAGCAATGCCTATATGTTGTGTCATAGGTAGATTTGTATCGATGGAATTGTCACAGAGGACTTATTATATTAGCTGGTACTTTTCTACTATTACAAGTTTGATTTTCTTTCCTTCATCAATATTTTTAAAACTTGTTTTTCTTTCATTGACTTGTCAATATTTCAGAAGCTATCACCTGCTTTTAATTTTTTTTTTATTTGTCAGTGAAAAACACAAAGCCCGTAGATAAGCTGATTTGAGTAAACATAGCACAAATCTAATCAGTGGTATTTAGTTTTTGGAATTTTATTTGCATATTTACAGATATATTTACTGTATATAATACAGTACTTTGAACTATAAATACTATGAATTGATAAGTCTGTCTAGCATATGTGCACTGCCTCATTTGGAACTATTTTTTTTTAAAGCATCCCTCATTCACTGGTCTTAACGTGACTCAAGATGACTATAGCCCATGTTGTGCAATAAATCTCTTGAACTTACTTTCAAATTCAAATCAAAGTTTGCGTCCTTTGACTGTCTCACTGACTTGGTCATCAATCTCCTAGTCCCATGTCCTTTGACCAATGCCTCATGTGCTCTGTGGTTGGTACATATCAGCGTATACACACACACACACACACACACACACACACACGCACGCACGCACGCACGCACACACGCACGCGCACGCACGCACACACGTGTACATACACACACGTACATACACCCACACATACACGCATACATACACTCAGACACACACACATACACACATGCACACAGACACACACACATACATACACACACAGTGGTGGTAATAAAATAGAAATGAAGGTTAATCTGGAGTATATTCATAGCATTATAAGTATATGGTTTTCTTGGCTTATCTTTGAGACACTGCATATGAATAATGCTGCTCTGTGGGCATTAATGTTGTGTTCACGTAGCTTTCCTGGGTCCCTTCATTACTTCTAGCACTTTCAGGCCTACCTATGTGATCATGTCCTGTGCAAACAAGGAAAATCTTCCTCCCTGCCCACTTTGGATGGCTTTCACTTCCTTTTCATGCTCTGTTATTCTGGTTAAGACGTGTCATACTAAGCTGCATAGGATGCCCTTGCTCTCTACATTTTTGAGGGGATGTTTTTAAGTATTAACTCCGAGGCTGTCTTGTGCGACCTTTATCATGTTGAAGTATAATTCTTCTATCCCTAATTGGTTGATCATTTTTTTATCCTGAAAGAATAGTTGACTGTTTTTAAATTATTTTTTCTTTTGAAATGGCCATATTGCTTTACCCTTTATCCTATTAATGGGATCAGTCATATTTATGAATTTACAAAGGTTGATCTGTTCTTGTCTCCCTGAAATTGATCCCAAACCATCACGGTGATTTGTCTTTTTTACATGCCTCTGAACTCAGTTGTTCAGGAACACAATCCGTATAGCCATGAGTGTTGATTGGCATATATTAGTTTATTGTGGGTCTTTTGGTTGGTTGGTTGCTTTTGTCTTGGCTTGGGATTTTTTTCTTTGTTTGTTTGTTGGGGGGGGTTAATGGTTTGGTTGGTTGGTTTTGGTTTTTCTTTTTTCTTATACACTTTCTGGCTTTCACCAATGATGCTGGCTCCTTAAAACGATTCAAAAGTATTCCCTAACAAGAGTGGCAGAAGTTGAATCTGTGTAGCAGAAGATACAATATATTATAGGGGTCCCAGGATAACTTGGACACACCCAATGAAGTAATGTGTCTTTTAAGAAGTGAAGATAAACAAGTTGTTGGAATATTCCAGATGGAAGATAACATTTATAAACATGTATCTGTAATATCTTCCCATGCCTCAAAGGTTAGAAATGTGCTGCTTTGCCCACACCATGCACAGATTCAAGTTCCTCTGAAGCATGCTCTAACAGGGTTGTTGCTGATAGCCATCCTCACAGGAAGCCCCATAAGGGAAGAGCTTGGCATGGAGAGATGGTCCAGTAGCTCAGCCCTTGAGTAAGAAAACCAAGAGCTCAGGTTCCTTTTTGCTCTGCCGCTCAGCTAGTGGACTGAGACAAAATTGAAAGTGCTTTTTATACAACATTAATGTTAGAAATTCCAGATATAAAACATATGCAGGCATTTTAGATAAAAACCCTAGCTTAATGAGTATTTTATCTAAATAGTTGCCGTAAGAGAAATGTGTCATAGTAAATCAGAGAGAACAGTGGAATAAAACGTGAGACACATTTCCTGCCTCGTGTTCAACCATCTCCTCTAGAAGAGTAAATAGTATGCGACATATAGCAAGCCTGATAACCATCGAATTGAAATGCACTCCCAGTTAGCATCATGACTCATTTCATCATCTCTTTTCTGTTCTTGCCATGTCATCTTCCCATTTAGGGTTAACCCAACCACAGTAATTACAACTGCAACCCCCTTTAACTCGTCCATTTTTGCCATTGTTCTTCTCCCTACCTACCTCTTGTCCTGTTTTTTTTTTTTTAACTATATTATTTAGCATCATCTACAATAACAAGTATTACTTACTACTTGGTTTTTAATTATTCTGGATCCCTCCAAAACAACAAAAGTTCTCTGAAGGAAGTGAGTTATATATGGTTTGTGAGTAGTTATGTTACTCATGGTGACTGGTACATAGAAAACTCTCCACATACGTTTGACGAGTGAATGGATAAATAAATGAATGTCAGTTCAACTTATATCATGCACATCCCCTCCTAGACGCTGTAGCCTTAAGATGCTAGTAAATTAAAACACATATTTTACATTGCAAGTGCTAAAGCTTCATTTCAGTTCTTACCAAGGTCATTTACTTTTAAAAAGCAAAATATGTCCATCTTATGATTCGGGTATTACATTTTTTTTCTCCTCTCTGTTCATCAACAGAAAAATAATCACCTGGAAAAAATTATATATGATATCCCTTGTTTGGGATTTTTACTTCACTTGGGTAGATTTAACTTACTCCTCCCCAAGATGTTCCTGTCTGTAGTCATTTATTTGGTACTAGAAATGAGACTGGATAGTGATGTTTTCCTCCAAAGACACTTGCTTTTGACCTGCACCTAAAAGACTAGAAAGTAGAGAGTCCTCTAAAGCTTGTGCAAAATATTGTGTTGCTACCATTTTCCTTTATCAGAAGATGAAACAAGTAATATATAAAATATTTGTAAGTAAATAGGTTTTAGAAAATATTTTAATACAGTCATGTAGTTCTGTTAAAAATATCTAGTAGTAAATATTCTCCATTTTTAATTTAATTCGCCAAAGTTTTTATTGCCTGTGTAATTGAAATTTCTAATGGGATTTTCTTTCAGATAGGAAGCAATAATGAGCAAAATAAAATGTCTGTAAACTCAAATTCCTTCGGGGCATATGCTATATAAAGGGTTATCACTTTTGTCTTGGCATAACACAATAAGATGCTAATGACAGGCAACAAATTAGAATATTAATCGATTTTGGTCTCTGAACTAAGTCTTGGCTATCTGGCAGATGTGGTTTTTGCAAAATTGATAGCAAACAGCTTCAGTCTGTCATTTGAAATTCCCACTTGTAAGAAGAGAGGTGTCATAATGGAGGGAGTGCGCATGTCATTAGTTAGGCAACCCACACAGTCCGGTGAGGTGCATATTCAAACCAAATTGCCTGATGATATCAACATAACATCGTGGGGCTTACTTAAAAAGAGAGAGAGAGAGAGAGAGAGAGAGCAAGAGAGGAAAAGGAAATGGTAAATGCTCTGAGTGTTTTTATCTTTCAATTCATTCTGCACACTGTTATCTAAATGAAGCAGACAAGGATTTCCAGAATGCGTCTTTATTTGGCAACTTTGATTTTAATGTGACTAAGGCCATGGTTGGTTTGTAAAGCATGAACTCATAGCGTCCAAATAGTTACGATTAAGGTTTTGATATTCATGAGCTCCTTGAAGTAGAGTGTACCTTTCCTCACACACAGCATAAAACCAAATCCTCACTCTCAGCCCAGAGTAAGAGTAAGAGGACTAAGGATAGTTGTGTTACTGATGCAGAAATGTTTGATCATAAGCGCTTTGATACAGGGATAAGCACAACTTATGGGCATAGGCTGCATGAATCCAAATCCTATATCTACAGCACAATGTCTCTGTGACCTTGGGCACAATAATTAATCATTTTTATGCCTGCATTCCCTCCTGTTACAAAGATAGGGTCTTAAGTAGTATCCTTGTCACTAGGTTTGTGTGTAAAAGCATCAGCATGTACAGAGTGTAGCAGGGTGTCTAGCACAGAGAAAGCACACTTTAAATGTGAGCTATTATTAAATTCACACTGTCGTTTTAACAAGTTTCTAGTTCTGTTTTAGAAATGCCCTCTATTCAGGTCAGTCACACAAACTGAGGCTATTCCAGAAACTTTGCATTGTATTCTTTAAGCCCGTTTCTGTGGTACCTGTTCCAAGGAAAATACTGGAAGGTTTCCACAGCCCCTCGTCTTCTCTAACATTTCTTTTACTTTCCATGCTGACCTTGCCTTTTCTGATCACCTTTAACCTGCTGTGTACTTGTAGGTCACATCAGAGAGTTCTCAGAGAACTTACATACGGCACAGGTGCTAGAGGAATCCAATGTGCGTGTTCCACACTCTAAAAAGTTCTTCCCTTGACCTTGCCTTGCAACAACTACTTGTCTGATTGCTCCCTTCACATCTGCACCAGAGTTAAAAACATAACCTGGACCCTGTCTGCTGTGCATGCCCTTTGACAATCCCGCGCCTCCT